TTTGTTAGGTCGGGTATGGTTGAGTCAAGAATTCGTCACCTTATATCAAAGTTGGAAAATGTGGAGAATCTAAGCTTGGCACATCCTTTTGTAAAGGGGTTTGATAAGGTTTATAATTCTGCACCAGAGCAAGAGGCGAATGATATATCACATGGAATATTTGATTCTAAATCATCCAGCGATAAAAGCAGCAGCAGCGAATCATCCCAAAACGGCACCGAAAAAAATATCGGCCAGACTCTTTATACTACAACATTCTATGTTGGATTGTTAATAAATCCACGAGAAGGTTTAGTAAAGCTTGATGATTTCAAAAACGATTAAATAACTTAATACTAATTGTAATTTTATCATTGTAATGGATAGCCGGCTCAACGTCTCCTCGACAGTTAAACATTTCATGGCCCACTCAAGAGTTTATGAAGTTGGTAAGAAGTTGGGACAAGTTCGATGAAAAAACTATGGATATTACAATAAAATATGTAAAAAGGTATGATTGAGGTATTACTTTGAGTCGTGTCAATTAAATTGTACCTTCTGCAGCTACGATTCTTTGATATTCAGTGCCGACCTACCACCTGAAGTCTTTGAAGAAGGAGAGCCACGTCCGACGAAGCTTAAACGTTCAAAACCGAGTAGCAAGGTTGTTAATTGTCCTGTATCGTATAGTAGCTTTCTTCAATTTAAGATAATTTGTTGATAGGTTTGGAAATTTCAGACTGAACAACACACCACAACGTCAGAGCAGCCCAGTAAGAAACATAGAACATTTGGTGATACTTTGATGCATGAAACAGCTGCAAACACCACGTCTGAACAGCCAAGTGAGAAACGAACATTTGACGATAACATGATGCATGAAACAGGTGCAATCAATACGGCGTTTGGTGGACAACTTAGAAGACATGTAGAATTTGACGATAAAATGGTGCGTGAAAAAACAGACAAAATCACTTCTATTTCGGAATCAAATAGAAATATCAAACCCACTACCCGCACATCTACTTCATGTGACATACCATCATCATCTTTGAACGCACGAGACACAAGAATAAGCCAGTCGATGGAGAGTGCTCCCTTAGGGTAGAATATGGAATGACTTTTAATGGTGAGATGGTTTCCCGGGACCAATATGGGGAAACAAATTTTGTTTGCGGTAAATGTGCAACAGATGATATTATGGCCCGATGCCGCATATTAAAAAAAAAAAAAAAAGAAAGAAAAATATATATACATATACTACAGAGAATGTTCCGAAAAAAAGATAATACGCATTTTCATAAAAAAGAAAAAAAAAAAAAATGAAAGAAAAAAATGAAAAATACTCTCAATGTTATTAATCATCACATCCATAGACGAGACTAGGAATAACGAGAGCTTGCAAAGTTCAATCTTTACAGTCTGCGTCGAAATAATCGTGAAATCCTGATGTCGATGTTTTAGGAACTGAGATGCACGCACCATTGATTTAATGAGGCTTTGTTGTTATGTGCGCGCAACTTATAAGGTAAGGTACTGGGTACATGAGGTGGGGTTTATTTTATTTTATTTTTTTTTTTGGATCTTCATTCTATTGCTAAAAAAAAATAATTCAGAAAAAACCTGATCAGATTTAAAGGCGAAATGTGCGTGCGACTTGAAAGCTTATTTTGTTTTTTCGCCTGTAATGCTTTATTTCCTTCAAGGTTTGGGAAAGACTGAATTTCTATATTTATCACTCCCTTAGATTAGCCTTCATTTTACGCTAGTTTGCTATAATTTAGTCTCTTTTTTTTCACTATTATTTTATTTCATTATTAGATTTATTTTTTTATTAACTTGATAATATAAACTTGGCGCAGGATTTGCTAGCTCTCGTATGAATAATTATAGATGAGTGTTGTTATG